CTCTCCACAGGTTCTTGTCTATTTTCGGAAAGCCGGCTCGTCAGAAAATCAGCACGAGAAGCACCAGATTCACCACGTAGGCATGTTGAGATTAAGAGGGAAGTTTTTATGCTTCCTGGTCTGAGTACGTGTTGTGAAAAATAGAATACCTCTCTGGGACTGTGGACGTGGGCTGTTGATGGAAAGGGGTTTTTCAGACGCCTGGACGGTGCTTGTGGTCAGTGTGGTGCGCAGCTGACTGTCTGTTGGGGTGGGGCAAAAACAGGGCTACAGTTGTGAGTGTTCTTGTATTATTGTTCATTAATTATTATTTATTATCAATCTACTCGGGCCCACCCTGCATAGTATATTTATCACATATTAAATGTAGTATATCTGAATTATATATTTGATCTCTGAAATTGTTTATCTATCTATTCAACCCTAGCGATTTATGTGATGCCTATGCCACCTGGTTTTCCTCAGTCAGTATTAGATTTTTTTTTTACCCTTTTTATTGGGGGGTATATGGTGTCCCTATATATGATTTTAAAAAATGAAAGAATTAAAAAAACTTACAAAGCCATTTTTTTACAAAATTTTACAAAGTCAATTTTCTGTCAATACATACATATTTAAGATAAATAAATAACACTTTTAGCATCCTGTGTTCATTTGCATTAGTGTCCCAGTGTGCATTACACATGATTGCTGAGGTTAAACTACATACAAAGGACTGATGGTCTGAACAAAACAAGTAAGACTGAGGATGGAAGACGCAGGAACAGACATTTCATTGGGAAAAGCAGTGGGATATAATGACTGGCTAGAAACAGAGGCGTGACTACAGCTTACCATGCCCTCTTCTGGAATAACTGGGAAAATGGTGTCCGAGCTCTGAGAGTTTGGAAAGGAATAAAGAGATTTTACAAATACATTTCTTTTGTCTTTGAAGCCTGTGTTTTTTCTTTGTGCCTGTGTTCTCAGCTCAGACGAGTTGCTCTCACTTGTGCACAGGCGCATGCTTACAAAATGTTTTGTAAAAATCCCTTCAAGATAGAGTAAGGCTCAATCTTTGAGATCACCCAAGTAGCCTGTTAATATTGAAATATGGAAGTAAATGGAGAAAATGAAACCTCAATTATGCTTAATATAGGTTCACCTATCTTGACTGAAGGGAGCTCACTGGAAAAATTATTTTCTCAAACTTATTTGCAATAGTATGGAAATTAAGAATAAATAACAATTAAAATGAATTACCAAACCACTTCTAGTAACATTGAACAGAACTTCTAAAATGTTTTTCCAGTATCATTATGAAGGAAAAAAATGAATCTGCCTTTTGACCCAGCAATTCCACTGCTAGGATTATATCCTAAGAACCCTGAAACACCAATCCAAAAGAACCTATGCACCCCAATGTTCATAGCAGCATAATTTACAACAGCCAAGAGTTGGAAGCAACCTAGGTGCCCAGCAGTAAATGAATGGATCCAAAAACTATGGCACATTTACACAATGGAATTCTATGCAGCAGAAAGAAAGAAGGAGCTCCTACCCTTTGCAACAGCATGGATGGAACTGGAAAGCATTATGCTGAGTGAAATAAGCCAGGCTGTGAAAGACAAATACCATATGATCTCACCTGTAATAGGAACCTAAACAATAAAACAAACAAGCAAGCAAAATATAACCAAAGACACTGAAATAGAGAACAGGCTGACAGTGACCAGAGGGGAGAGAATTTCAGGGGAAAAGAGGAAGGGTCTACAGGAACAAGTGTAAAGACACATGGACAAAAACTGGTGGGGTTGGAAATGGGAGGGAGGTGGGGAGGGCTGGGGGCGCTGGGATGGGAGTAAAAGACAGAAAACTGTACTTGGACAATAATTAAATAAAAAAGAAACATTGAACACACAAATAAATAAATATATAAATATGTTTATGCATATCTCAATAACAATAACACAATCTAGCTACATTTTTGGAATATTTATATGCTCTACTTAAGGTTTATTATCTAATGTAAAGAACTTTAAATGTATGATATTCTATTTGTATTGTAGACTGTGTTACTATTCCTACAAACTGAATTAAAACTTTAAATAATTTTACATCATTTCAAAAAACCTAATATTAAGAGAACCTTTCACATTTACTAAAATTTGGAATGATATCAAAAGTGTCTTTATCAACCTCAGCAAAGCCCTTTGGTGGTGTGCAGAAGGAGTAATCTAGCTGTAGACAGGTTGGGGCACAATTGCCTTCCTCCCCTCTGACACTTGGATGGGATAGAGAATGGATCTTGTGGGTCTCAGATAACAGACAGGGACAGCTGCATCCCCACTTTCTGTACCTCGGATGGGGTAGAGAAGGGATTATGCACATTTTAGAGTGGAGACCAAGTGGGGTGCTCCTGTCACCCTTTACCTGGTGAGCCATTCTTCAAACCCAACTTACCGAAGCATTGCAATATTTTCACATTTTAGATAAAAACATTCACAAAACAAAAGAAGAATATATTGTGCTTATAGAAAAAGAGGGAAGGAATCCGATTGGTTGGAAAAATTTAGATTTTGAAGGATAATTATTCCCAATAAAATAGTTTCTAGATAAATAAAGGAGGCAAGCCCTGGCTGGTGTAGCTCTGTGGATTGAGCGCCGGCCTGCGAACAAAAGTATCACAGTTCGATTCCCAGTCAGGGCACATGCCTGGGTTGCAGGCCAGTTCCCAGCAGGGGACACATGAGAGGCAACCACACATTGACATTTCTCTCCCTCTCTCCTTCCCTTCCCCTCTAAAGATAAATAAATAAAAATCTTTAAAAAAAATAAATAAAATAATGGAGGCAATATGCCCTAATTTTAAATGAAGTTATTATGAAAGTATCATCCCCTAAGTGTTTATTATTTTAAATAAAAATCCTCTTAATAGAGTTTTCTTGTAAATTCAAGTTGTGAATTTTTATGGCTTCCTTCATTAATCATTTACTTTTGTAACCATTACTTTTTTTAAAAAACTCATTTATTTTCTCAAACATATTTTCTATGTTTCTTCTTTTATTTTGGTGGTGTACCTGCAAAAATCATACTTTTCATAGAGTTATTTATAAAAAAAAAAAAAAACTTCAAGGCCAAAACATGCCCTAACCTACTCTACTCTTTTTAATGATAAATGCCAACGCTCTCTGCTTGAATTAGTAAAGTCACCTGAACACAAAATATCACATCTTTTACAACAATAAGATTGAGCATGCTTTTCAACATGTGACAAGTTGAAAAGCATGGAGAAAACAAAACGGATAAAACAAAATGTCATTGAAAGACATAGGGCTGGAAGGATACACAGAAAATTCAGTGAGACTATTTACTTTTAAAGATAAAAATCAGAACTGCAAAGTTACATATCATTATTACAAACAAAGTGGTCTTTAAAAATTTTAGATGCAAATTCATGTGGCATTGAATTCACTGCTCTCATTATAGACGCTGAGGACCTTCCGGCCTTTTGGATTGGCCAGGCTGCTCCACTCACAGCCAAACACTGCATGCCCTTCATGACCTCCCTGGTGCTTTCAGGATGTAGCTGAAATGCCTACAATTTAGAGGATTTAATCCTGAGGCACTGGATTCATTTTTGAAGTAAACATTAAACACTTTACAGGAAGAAATTTATGCTTTAGATTTCATACATTAATCTTGATTCTTAGGCTGTGTGGTGGGAGATAAGGAAAGACGGAGGTGTGTGGTGGGGTGGGTTGGAATGGCCAGGACTGGGGGTGAGGCACAAGCAGAACTTAATTCTCCTTGAACATGACAGCGTTTCAAGTACAGAGAGCATTCGTGCTGTCTGCTGTCAGATGTCACGTCTCCTTATCCTTTCCACTCCTTCTATAAACATGTTTGTGGTTCTCGGGGGTCTGTGACGTCCAAGTTCTGGCATTCAAGGCTGAAGCAAACCCCACAGACATGCTGGGGTCTGTGTGGGGCAGAGCTGGACATTTAGATCCCTCGTGCTAGATGAGTCATAGTCAACAACTGCAGTGCTTTAAATCCATCCGGGCAGAATTTTTGTATACTTTCTGTTTGCATGCTTGCTTATTATTTTGTTGTAAAGAGAGATGGTCAAAGCCGTTCTGATTCTGAGCCCCATCTTATTCTCACAGCCAGGGTGGAGAACCCCGGGCCCAGACACTAAATCTCTTTTTGGTCTCTGGTTGCAATTTTAATAGCCACAGAATGCTTTCAACTCATGCCAAGGTCACATTTTACACTTGCCTATGGACTACATCTAAGCAAAATCTCCAGTTTCTGAAGGAGCACATGATCTTTTAAAACTTGGATGGCAGTAGGACCTTACATTCATCCCATTAATTATCACCTTTTTAGGTTGTTTTGAACTGCTCAGATATTTGTGGTTTCGGCTTATATTTTCCAGTTCTTCACTATTTTCACAGCTCTGCAATTTTGTGGTCATAGTTCCTCTATGATTGTTTAAATTTGAATAATAGGTTGACAGGGTAGAGCCCAGAAAATAGTTCTGCAGAAGTCCAAAAGAAAATGTTCTTCCAAGTGACATAACCTTTTGGGATAATTATTCAACAAATTCTTAGTCTGTCCTGGGACCAACAGCAGAGACAGTGTCCCATGTCACCCTCACTTTAAGGGCACTTATGTCTGCCTCTGACGCACTTATGCCATTATGATTTAACATCAGACACTGAGATGATAATTTACAGAATCATTTTATAAGTTAAATTTGGTATAGAGTTAAATGTCATGTGATATGTGATGAAGAGCCCATTTCAATACATATTTAAAATAGATTAGGAAAATTATCACTTTCCTGAGATTAAATGTCTTAAGATTTTGAATCTCAGTTATTTTAGCACACCTATTATTAAATAACAACAGGGGTATAATTTTTTTAAAAAATCACAGTTCTAATATGCATTCTGTTTTTATTGATAATATGATAATATTTTTCTGGCAGCAAATTTAAAAAAAAATAAAATTCTTACCAAAATTTCTGATGGTCTTGGTAGACTGGAGGGTCAAGGAGCCATTGTGGACGGGAGCAAGCTGGGTGCTGTCATTGTTGGCTGGAAAATACACAGTCAGTTAAAGTGGGGGACTCTGCCCCAGGCTCATAAACAAAAGCACAGCATAGCTGTTGTGGTAAGAAAAGCAAGCTTTTAGAAATTTTATTCACATGGCTATGTTAAATCAGTATGCAGTAGATCTTTTAAAATGTTATATAAAAATAACATTTTCATGAATGACTTCATGATTCTTAGTTAAGAAAAGCATAACATTGAACGTTTAAGTCTATACTTTAATAAATGTTATGGTCACATAAAACTGACTGATTTTAGGTGGAAGTTTCCAAAGAACTCCTTGCCCTCAAATTTTTATGGATGTAAGGATTTTAGTGGCCCTACTCTTATGCCTTAATGATAATATAGCATTCTCAGGAAAGAAAATTAAATAATGTAATCTAAAAACTATACTGTTGGATTTGTGGAAACAGTTTTCCTTGTAGTTAGTTATATTTCTTTACTACCTGTGTTTAAATTTTTTTTAACATAATGACTGATTTCTATCAGATTTGTATGGCTAAAACAAAAGTTACATGAACTTGAACATCCTGTAAGATGTCATATTTTTTTAAACATGTGTATAAGTGAAGTACAATCAAGTGAGAAATGAACTTACATGAGTCCTCACAGGTGGTCCTGCATTCTTCCAGCGATTCGAAGTTGTTCATGTTGCCCAGGCACCCACCGTAAATGAAGCTCTCACACTGCCTGGACTGGTTGTTATAAAAATACCGAGTAAAGTAGGCTCGACAGATTCCAACGTCTTCTTCCAGAAAGCAGAAATCTGGCTTTCCTAGAAATTATAAAGTATCAGAGAACAGTACTCTTTTTTGTAAGTGATTTAATTATGTTAATTAAATTGATAAGAACTCGTTGCGTTGAAGTTACTTAAGGAATAAATAGAAAAAATTAAAAGCAAGGTAAAATAACGTTACAATGGTACAATGTTAAAATTATTGTATTAACTGTGACATTTAGAATAAAGAAGATAGAATAAGGAAGATGCAACTACTATCAGGCATTTTGCTATTTGCATTTCAAATTCCAAAGTTTTTACAGTGAATTAGCAGGGCATTCATTATCAACTGTTTTCACGATTTGAGAGAGGAGGAGATATTGAGTTATTTTTACCCTTGGATTGGAAGAACAAAATACTATGGCAAAAATTAGGTTTAATTATTTGTATTGTGTATGTGTATCAACATTAAGAAAGATCTATAAATATTTCATATTTTTTAGGTGTGAGGTCTCATTAGGAAAAAATGTAGTGTGTGGCTTTAATGAGAAATTTCAATTCAAAAATTGGAGAAGCTTTGAAGAATGGGGGAGCTTTTCACAGCTATTCTTAGTAGTTCCTGAATTCTTAAGCCGGAATGAATATCTGGGTTAGGTATGACATCCCCCACCTTGGTTTCCTATTTTTCCTTCCCAGTCATTGGAAGGGCTGCAACAGTGCAAAGGCAGAAAGGAAATAGACGTTCAGGGATTGTAGAGGCTTTTGAAAAAGCCTAGTACCCATTCTTGGTCAGTGTTCCAAGCCAGGCCAAACACAGCTGTCACAGAAGTCGTGCCGCTGTGATTCACTTCACAAGCTTTGTCTACAAGCACACTCTGTAAATAAGAGAACTGGACCTATTTTTTAAATTATGATAATCTCAAGAAATAGTGAGCTTGGAATTGTCAATGCAAAGCTTCAATTTCTCCATTTCTCCCCTGCATCTATAGTACCATAGTGCTAAAAAGGAACTGTAGTATCCTTTTAAATCTTTTCTTTACATTGTTTTTTATTGTATTTTTTTCCATTAGGATTTATCCCACCTATACTCTCTTCCACACCCACCCACTTCCTACTCACCCCCACAATCACGACACTGTTGTCCATCTGGCTGGTTGATATAAGGAAGCAATACTCATGAGTGTTTTACTATTAAAAAAGTGTTGTTTAATAATGCCAACGATTTCTGCAACAGTTTCAAATCTGCAGAAAAACGTATCTCCTATGAAACATTGTGTTCTTAACTAAGACATCCTATTGTAATATAGCATAAAATATCTATTTTATGTAATTTCTTTAAGTTCCAATTAGAAAGTTATTTTGTTATTTATTGACTCTTGTTTCTCAAGATGAATATTACTATTATTTCCATAGTAACGATTTGTAATAGTTAAGTTTAATGTGTGGGACAAGAAAAAAACCAATTTAATTTGTATAATACCTTTTTTGGTAAGACAAAATTACATTTAATTATTGTCTGTTTGATTTGTTTTGGTTTTAGTATGTCCTTATGAAATTTTAAATTATCTTAGAGTATGTAAGAATTCAGTGTTCAACAAAAAGAAGTAGTAAAAATATTGCATATAAACAACAGAAAGTAGTGACAAACTATGCTCAAAAGTATAATTAATAAATTCTATTTCTAGAACTTGCTATTATTTATCTGAGGCATAAATATATTTTAGGACAAAGTCAGAGCTGCTCCCATAAATTATTTTTGCTTAGGCCTACAGTTTAAAATACTTTGGGTTATAAATCAAGAAATGTATACCTTATTTTTCTCAGATAAAGCAATATTTGTTTTGACTCTGCATATACAATCCTTGCTTTAAGGCTCAATTAAAATGTATTAACATAGAATGCATACTTTAAGTTCTATACCAACTTCTACAAGCCACATGATTTTCACTCAAATATTGTGTGAGGTTACATATTTAACAATTGTCTTAAACTAAACTTTCTTTTAAAAAAATCATGCCTCATAATTCTCAGATATATAAAAGCAGCATTCATATTGAACCTGTATAGAATCACTAAGTAATATTCACAAAAGCAATTATTTATTGTTAAATATCTTCACTTACTTTTGCTTATTATTGCTGACAACTCAAAGATGTATCCATTTAGGGTAGTACTGGATGGAATTTGCTAATGCCACACAGTGCTGAGCTTATCGAGGGACTGGAGATCTCAGAACTAATGTAAACTAGCAATATTTAAGTCACTATTTGGTAGATGTTGAAACATCGTGTGTGGGGCTGGCCCTGGATTGTAACAAATCCTAAATATCATGCTGCATTAGAATAAGAGTGAATATACTGTTTAAGCCTTCCCTACCCAAACCTATGCCTGTTATTTATAATTTTTCATTTTATCTTCTAAAATAAAACACCATTCAAAGAGCACATGGATTTATAATGAACCTCATATCAGAGAAACCTAAGAACTGAATTTGTAAATGCCTTCAATAAATGATGCTAACAAGCATACAAATGAATATTCACCTTTTTGCAATACTGTCCTTAACTTTTCAGACCTCTTTGGATAATCTGCAAGAAAAACAACATTATGTGTATCAGTTATCACAATTTATAAAATAATGGGATGAATTTCAGTTGAACAAATTAGGATGATATATTCATTATCATTGTAACTGTTCTTACATAGAATGTTAATATATTTCTTTTTACCTTGTCTAAATATGACATTATTTTAAATTATTGCAACCACAAGACCATCTCATTTTATCATAATAATGTCTCAAAATCTGTGCTAAAAGTTCCAATATATTTATAAAAGATGAGTTCATGCTGAGCTATCCCAAATAGCTGTTATTACAATAGTTATTTATAAAGAATGTGAAATGTGATATTAACTCAAACTGCCTATTTTGTATATAAAAACAAATAACTCTATAGATTTGAAAATACAATATAACTGAGTAACAATATGAAAAGTTGGGGTCAGTGAAGTCTGTGTGGATCAGTGTGGATGGTATTTTTTTTTCTACAGTATCCCAAAGCTCCTAATAGAATGATTTAACTTTATACATGTATTTCTGATCTCTAATGAAGCTCAGAATTTTGTAATTGGTAGCTAGGGATAGGCTTACAGAGGCTTCTCAGATTCCTTATCTTGACAGGGGGCAGCTATGATCTTGATGTATTGATAAGGTCTAACTCCAGGTGACTAACAAGGTCTTTCCCGCTAACTCATAGCTGCTGAATTGCAGGCACTTTCATTTTTTATTATGAAAAAGCATATAGGATAATAAATGGGGCTTAACATATTTTACAATGACTGATATAGAAAAATTAAAAACAATAGTGAACACAAATGCTGAAAATAGGAAAAATGTGAATGAGTCCTTGGAATGTTAACATAGTTTAAACTTATGTTTTCTAAATTATCAAATCTATGATGATCTCTAGTCACCCTAAAGGACTATTATCTCCCAGGGTATAAGTGTCCCCAGTAACCTACCTCTTATACATTTTTCTTTGCACTCTTGCAGACTTTCAAATCGATTCTCATTTCCTTCACATCCCCCATATATAAATTCTTCACACTGTCGAGTGAAAATATTGAAAAAAAAATTCTTCAGCATTGCTCTGCACGGGCCTTTATCTGCTTTATATGCACAGTAGGAATGAGCAAGTTTCAGTGGTGGTAGCTCAGCATCTACAAAGTAAAACACAAAAACTGTAACATATAAACTCCATCAATACGGTGATAATGCTCTTTGCTTCCTTTGCATTGCCTTTTTAATATATCCTAACTTTAAGAAAAGGTGCAGTAAACTAGGCTGAAATGAGGAACCATAAAAATACATTTATAGCTATCAAAAAGGTAGATCAAGTTTATAAATTCACCAAAGGAGACAGGCTTTATCAGCTACTATATTTTAGTCATTGATTAATAATCAACTATTATAGGAACATGTAGAATAATTTTGGTTATTATTCAACTATTAAAAGAAAAGGTAATTTTCCCAGACTCTTGCACTTGTACCAGGTGACCGGCAGAGTTGAGTAGGGATTGTAAGGTAACTGATGAGTTGGCATTACAAATAAATAGAGACCTCGTTTTTAATTTGGCCATATTTAAGGGCAGTTGTTAATGGACAGTTTTTTGAATTCCCCTCCCTAACTCACAACCATGTCACTTTTTACACACACACACATACACACAACCTCTTTAAAAGCAACAGTGCATTCAGATTCATATATGTATGAATATATTATGCTATATTAAACTACCCCCTGATTATGAAAATGTAAGTGTCTGATCTATCAATCTCATGGTGAATTCTTCTTACTTGTCATGCTTTTTTCAATGTCTAACAATATTGAAAACACTTAACACTTTCTATGTTTTCATATAATGAAAATATAATGAAGCAATTCTTTTGACTTTGAGTTATACTTTTATTTTCCTAAATATTCAGTCACTTAGTTTTAGTCACAGAAAAATTTCATGTACTGGGGAGAAGTGTAGTTTCCTGTAGTTTAAAAATTAAATTTTTGAAAGAGAAAATATGTATGTCATAAAATTTAGATTAGATACTTTTATTAAATCTCTCCTATCCTTCATATTTTTGGCCTATTAATCTTGAATTGATGTCAAGTACTAGCCACATTTAAGTAATGTTAAGACTATAATGAAATAATGAAAATGCTATTTTAAATTTTCTTTATGAGTCATAAAGTAATAAGTAGGCTTTGCAATCTTGGAGTGGTTAAAATTTAGCCTTATATACATAAACTGGTAGTACTGTGCTGTTTGAGTCACTTGACAATTTATATGAACATGTATACAGATTTTAATTTTTTTAAATCTGAGTATAATTTACAAAATGCCATATTACCCTTTTGATTAATTGTTAACTGAATTAACTATTCTTTTAAATTAAAATAAACTAAACCAACATAAATTCTAGAATAATAAACTTTCAGACCTAAATTTTAATGAGGCAGATTACATGTTACAGATTTATTATAACACATATATTTTTACCTATAAAAGACAGCACTAAACCTATGTTGCCATATATATTCAGAGAAAATATTTCTTATAAATCAATAATGTACATTAGGTTCATTCTCACTGACAATACCTCTACTTTTTACTAAGATATTTGATAATTATGCCAAATCTTTTATTTTACATTTTCTGTATTAAGGATGTACTTGCTCCAAGTACAATCTGCTATGTAGTAGTTTTGCCATTAGGTGGCAGCAGTGCACCACAAGAGTGAAACGGCATAGCCTAGTTGTGATACCAAGTTACACTATTAATGGCAGCTAATGTTTACTGAGTGATTACTATTAGTAATTTTTGTAATTATGACATTGTGTAATTATGTCATTTAATTATCATAACAAGCTTATTAGTTAGGTATTATTATCTCCATTTTGAAGATTATAAAATCACAGTGAAGAAATTAATTGTTTAATTCACACCATAAGTGATGACTTTTGAATTATCCCCTGTAGTTTTACAGCCCATTTCTCAGACATTCTTAAAAACTGAGTGGTATTGTCACAGATCTGTGTGACTGAGATTCATAAGATGGTACTTAGATCAAGCAAATTCATTTTATAGAAACTAAAAAAGCTTTCAATGATGAAAGTAGGTGTTGATTTTACAGCAATTTCATCGGAGAAACACTAAGGATTAACTTATTAACTATTAACTCATTATTCATCTTTGTATTTTAATGTATGTTTCTTACATGAATCCTGAATTTTTCCACAGTGGGCGTGTGACCCACACTTGAACTCAGCGACGCTGCGAGGGGAGTGGACTCAGTATGGTGCCATTCCACCAGAAAGGGACGGAAGTCCGTCCTGTTTTCATTTCTTGCTTTGGATAAACCTTTTGAAAGTCAGCAATCTTGTGTGACCACGTGTCAGACACTGTGCTGTCTCGGCAGGATAGATGGTAGTGAGCATTTTACGCGGCAGCAGTCCCCTTTGCACGTCGTGCAGACACTAGAGATTTCCTCATACAAACGTTCAAGAAGTTCAGGTCGCTCTGCAAGTGTATAATGAGACTCTCAAGCTTGTCCAAAGGGGTCAGGAATAACTTTCCTGGGACTTGACAGAGATGAAGACAGGGTTGACAGTGACCAATATTGATCACAGGCGGCGGAACTAGAACACTCATACAGGGCAATGTCATGAGAATTTAATGTGAAGCAGCCAGATAAATACAAATATCGCTTATAGATAAGCATTTGTGTTATCAAGTGTTTTAGTTTATGTCTCACCATCTGTGGATTATAATCTTACTCTCCTGTCCCCTGTCCTGGAATGTTAGATGGAAGGCACCTGATAACATCTGGGAACAGGCAGAGTTTGTGACTGTTAGAATGCTCATTCTCCTGGATGTGTTTGGGGACCTAGAGCTTAAGGCAACTTCCTAGGAATCTGTGTGTTTCTGTACTCCCTACTGAAAGGTCAAATTTCTCTGGAAAGGAAGAGCATAAGCACGTACTCTGCTTTCTCTGTGTCAGAAAATGAGTCAGATGTTTTTTGCAGTTGATAGAAAAACCACAAGAACGTAGTTAATTATATCACTTATTTATAGATTAGGACACTGGAGTCAGGGAGTTTATACAGCTCATCTAATTTTGCAAAGCTGCTGTGTGGCAAACCACACATGCAAGCTTAGGTCTGTCTGATTCCACGTCATAAAAGATAAATTGACTTTCTCTAAATATTCTCTGCTAATCTGCTTTCTCCCAATATGAGATTTTTAAAGCTTACTTATCATTACTGTTTTTATTATCATTTTCATATTTTAGAGAAGTTTATTCCTAAAAATTTTTTATTGTTGTTCACTTATAGTTGTACCCACTTCCCCCCATTGCTCTCCCCCTCCCTGCCTGCACCCACCTCCCACATTCAATTCTCTCCTCCCATTGTTTTTTTGTCCATGGGTCCTTTACACATGTTCCTTGCCTTGACCTTGCCCCTTCTATTCTATTTCATTCTCCGTGCTGCTATAGACTTAGAAGAAAAGCAGTAAAATTTCATACATTTTTCTACAAAATGATAGTGTACCATTTCAATTAAATAGTAGAATTCTATAAAATGACAGCATGACCTTGGCATGCTGTGATAAATTGTATCTCCAAAACTGAACTGATCCAGATGTGGGATCATGTTATTACAAGGGTAATTAAAAACAAAACAGTGAAAACTGGATTAAGACTGCATAGCTAGTCAGTTAAATGGTCTTCAAGTCTAGCTTTAAAATAAAAACATTTCTCTTATGTAGCTGGGTTTGGTCTGGAATTATCCAGAGATCTAAACTTGGGCCTAATTAGTGGTAGGTTAATTCTGGTTTCTTGGTTGACTGTGGCAACAATTTCAGGAAACTCTTGGTTAATTGGCATGCAATTTCTCAGTCTAATTGAGAGAGGTTGGACTAGATGAATATTGGGAACACTTAGACCCATTCACCTCTCACTTCCCAAGGTGAGGTTGCCTGGTTTTTCTTTGTGGGGGCTTAGTTCACCCTCCACATTTCTTCTCTACCCAACCTCCAGAATATTAAATCCCTTTTGAGAAATGAACCAAATGAGGACGGGAACCCATGTGAAAATGACCAAATTCCAATGCTTTTTTAGATTTTATTTATTTTTTTTAAGAGAGGAGAAGAGAAAGAGAAACATCAATGTGTGTTTGCCTCTCCTGTGCCCCCTACTGGTGCCCCCTACTGGAGATCTGGCCCACAACCCAGGCATGTGCCCTAATTGGGGATTGAACTGGTGACCCTTTGGTTCACAGACCCGTGCTTAATCCACTGAGCTATACCAGCCAGGGCCAAACTCTTATTTTTGTGAGATATATTATAGCTTTTACTTTATTAAATAATGTTGCATCTTTTTAAAAATTTACGTACATACATACATACATGTGTGTATATGGGCATATATGTGTATGTGTCTATACATGAATATATATGTGTGTATATATGGTATGTGTATGTATATATATATTTGATGCCACATAACAATAATCCTTTGTTTTTCATTTCCAGGTAGGATTTGAGTGACCCCGTTGACCCTAGATGGGTTTGCTCTCACCTACTGGTTAGCTGGGCTCATCTGGCGTTGACCTACATGGGTGGCTGGGCTTCAGGCTGTGGGTCTGGCCACTGCAGATCTTCAGATCTGCCCCACAGAAGGCAGGCGGCACATACCACTTGGTTACTTACACCTGCTTGTGTCTCCCATTGCCGAGCTTAGACGAGTTTTCTTCTTCCGTGTGTCAACAGCAACACCCTGTGCACACCTCCATCACTTCCTTTAATACCTTGTACTGAAATCACAGGTCTACCCTCCTGTCTCCTGTGTGAGACTGAGATTCTTGAGAACCTGGGCTCAGTCTTCATTGCGTCCCTAGTACCTGGCAGTTTCAGGCACAGGTGTTTATTTGATCTTTATCCTAGGGAAGTGCACTGAATGAAATCACTTTCAACAGCTGTGAGGGGTACGAAATAAGAATGTACTTAAGGGAATTCTGTGTACCTTATAAGCATACCTACAAATACAAGCCATCACTTTGTTCATAATCTCTCACCGTTACCAATGATATGAGTTTTCTATCAGTTTTCTAGTTTACCACAAAATATTACTTTAAGAAAAAAATAAGTCTATAATAATAATCACTTTATAGTCTTTTCCTTGTTCTGTTGTTTTACTGATAATATTTTATTTTTGGGTGTGTAGCTTTATGGGATCAGAACTGACATCTGGCCAGATCTTTTGGTGTCCTGCTTGACTAGATTCTCACACTGGATTCATCTGGGAATTTCTTATTTGGTGTATAAAGGCAAAGAGAGAGAGAGAAAGAGAGAGAGAGAGAGAGAAGAAGTGAGAGAATGGCTGAAAACTCCGATGTCTGGGGTTTCCTCTTCCCTCTCAGAATGGCGACAAAGTTCGTAGAGTCGTTTGTTGAGCACATTGCTCCTCACAGTTTTCCAGAGATAACTCAGTGTTTAACGGAATAGGCTGGGCCAGGGATGAGGGGGAAGTCTTCCTTGCTAACATGACTTCTTTTGTAGACAAAGGCTTTGTTTGTTTGTTTTGACACAATACATCATGTATATTTCCTAAGAAAAGTGTCACTTTGACAAAAACTAATTTTCCTACACAATGGGAAAAACATATGAAATATGTGGATTACAATTGAGAGCTTTGACTAGTTTAAGAAGAAGAAAGCTTCTAACATTTTACCTGTAATGTTGGACTGTTCATCTTCCTCGGGATTAAGATCTTCGTCTTCCTCAGCATTAAGAGGGACAGAGGCGCAAGCAAGCAGCAGACATACAGAAACCCCCAAAATTGCTTTTATCTTCATTGCTCAAATCACCTCTGAAATATAAACCCAGATATATCTAATAAATAATGAGTTAAAGTGGAATCACCAGTAGACTAGTAGGAATCAAATGTTTGCCTCCAAATGTACATTTTTTTTACTCTAATGGGTATGCTCATACATCTTTGTCCAAAAATTCCATGAAATACATACTCAGTAAATATATCTAATAATTTTCAAGTACGCGGGTCAGTTAGCAACTTAGAATTTCTTTTAAAAAAGAAACACTGTGCAGGAATTGACTGTGGGGGCAGAAGCGGGCTGTGTGGAGGACGGCAGAGGGGGGACATTGGGACAACTGTAACAGAATAGCAGTCCTAAAAGTAGGTTAATAAAGGAAAAATAAAAAGAAACACATTTTCCAAATGTTCATCTTTGTTTCCTTACAATACACTTCTGTTCTATGTTTTAAATAATTTGTTCTGCTGACATTGGTTCACAAAACCATACAGGTTTCCAGTGCGTGACCACTTTCCTACCCAAGTCCTCTGTGAGACTGCAAACGGAGATGCTGAAGAAGAAATGTCTAACATTGCAGTCCTTCACCCGGGGTCTGCCACCCTCAATTAGGGGACGTATCTCATTCAAAAGTTTCGTAGAAAAGTGACCTTAAGAGATAAGCCAACACATCTACACTCTAAGGGAACACATTTCACCAGCAGAGGGATATTTCCTGTTTCAAAATGATTTAAACATCCATAACAAAAAGTAATGGGAAAGTGCCTTTAAATGTTTTTAAAAGGCCATTTCTTCTCTGGGTTCAAAGGTGAACGGACCTGTGCCCTGTTCACGCAGCAGGAAAGGGACGGAAGGAGCATGCGCACATGCCAGCCTCTCATCCTGTGACAGAAAGGCGGGACGGGAACAGAACTGTCACCAGAGAAGGAGCGAGGGGCAGACAGTCCATCAGAAACAAGTCAGAGAGCTCTCTGTTTATGTGTGCAGTGAATACAGCTACAATACACACCGTTACGGTGTGGGGAGTAATAAATGCCATTTTGCTTTCGGCTTCATTAAAATCACTAATAAACTTATAACCTATTTTCCTGCAACAGTTTGAAAATGTTAAGACATATCTGAATTTTAGCAAAAAGCAGTGTTATTACATCCCTTCTAAATCGTATCATAACTACTTGATCCACAAATATGTGTGCATATATATATGTGTGTGTGTATATATATATATATATATATATATGAAGATTCTACTAGCTAAACTTGTAATTTTTGTCTTATTTTTTTAAGTATTTTTCAGCAACTCTTCTGTTTCCATTGGATTTTTGAGACATATAACCCTGTTACACTTTGAGAGTTGAATGCATGTCTTTCGACCCCACAGTTTAGGGAGCAGGTTCGGATGGGGTGCCTGCTGAAGAACATGATGAGCACTTGGCATCTAAATCCATCAAGTTACTCTCTTTGAAAGTGGTGGCCTAGAGTGTTGCTCCATTTTGGCAGGGTAGGCTTTCCTTGGTTGTAAGGATCCAAAGCCAGCTGGGACAATGTAGGTCAAAAGGTCATAATCTCATTCATTCTAGGGAAGGTGGAACAATATAGAACTAGAAAAGCAGGTTTGAAGCCGAATCTCAGAAATGTCTGGTGTCAGGGACCTGCACACCACGGTTGCTGCTGCACACCACGGTTGCTGCTGCACTCCTCAGACCACAATAACTGAGATGATGCACAGCACGTGCTGGGTTTCGGGAGGTGGTTTTGGTCTTACTTCACCTGACGATCATCTGCTTGAAAATACGCTGCCTTTGAAAACCATTAAGGAATGTAACTAATAGGTCAGTATCTCAGCATCCACTAGTTTAAAAGTATACTTAGTGTATTTCTCTTACTGCTTGACTTATATCTTACTACTTTAAAACTTATTTACCACATTTTTTCTACAGAAACATAGTTTTTACTATTTTATTTACTTTCCATTTGATCGCTATCTTATTGCCCACACAAGTCTAGCATCACTTGCAAAGGTACTTGCAAAAACTTTCATTTAAATTTTATAACTGTTCAATAATACAACTCTTATGTTTTATTTAAAGTTTCCTAACACAGAAGTCATCAGCTTAATGAAGTTCATGGATAGTACAAGAATGGTGATTAATCAGCAGCTTGATATATTTATAATGCTGATGTCTTAATTAGTTAAACCTACAGTCAGGCTCAATTTTGTACCTGGTTTCTTTCAAACATCTCCCTCAAAAAACCATTTGTTATGTGTGACATGTCAAGATAACTTGTGACAGTTCAGTCAAAAATGCTCTAGGCATTTATTTAAATTTATCTGCTATAGAAAATCAGTTTGTTTTAAAGAAAATTTAACAGATGGATTGTTAGTGTCTTCTCCAAAAATCCAAGTTGAAGTAGATTATCCATTATGTTCTTTTTAAGATCAGGTATAATTTTTGCCCCATGATAAATAGGTGCTCACACTGGTTCTTGGCCTGGGCACCTGTCCTTGATGAATTGGCTTCAAAGTTTTGTGAAATAAATGCATTTCCAAACTTACATGACAAGGGACTGTATCCCTATAATATATTTTTGGAACATATCTTGAGAAATAATGTTATACATATGGAGAACCCAGTAGATTTTCTGAACCAAAAACACATATAAAAAGTGTGAGTTGTGCTTTAATAAAATCCAGGGTTTGTGAAAAGATGTTGAGAAGACAAAATTATAAATGTAATTATTAACAGCTAGAATGTTTCAGGACCAGATTGAAATTATGAACAAGGGCCATCAGTGGAGCTATAAGAAAAGGGCAACCGTGAGAGACCTTTAGAATTAAGTATCGATAAAACTGAGTGGTTGAGTAAGTACGGTGTGGTGGACTCTGGCCAGCAGTGTCCGCCTGTTGTGGCTGATGATGAAAATAAATGCACAGGTGACAACAATCCTGCAGAGGAAAAGGGAACAGCAGGGCTCCTCTGTCAAGGGGAGAGTGTCGTGTCTATGGTGCCTTGGCCACTCCCTCAAGAGGGGAGCACCCCGACCTTTGCCTAGACAGGCTTTTATTGTTTTCTTTGGGTCTTATATCAGAGAAAGATTTATTATCTATTACATAGAGTGTTATTGTCTACATTTTAGGAATGAAATCAAGGAAATGAAAATAGCATGCAGAGGGGAATGGCGATGAGCTGATTAGCTCTGTCCTTGGGAAAATTCACACAGGCTTTGGAAATTACCTTGAAGATAGACAACACACATTCATTGTTTTAGACCAGGGTGATGGAGTTTTAGCAAGAGCAAGCCATAACAGTCTGTATGCATTATCTAGGCCTGATTCCCACGGGAAAACACAGTTTGAAGGTCTGGCTCCTGCCCACCACTTCAATTCTGTTTTCCATACAGAGCTGAGTCACATTTGCCAGACTAGAGCAAACCGATCTCCTAAGGGACAGGATATGAAGGACAGAGGATTCAAATACATCTGAAGTGACCTGGTGTGCTAGGCATAAAACTAGGTAAATGAATATAAATATTAATTGTGTGTATTAGGAATACATTCAGTTCTGGGAAGATTGCATTAGACATTATAAATGTACCTGTAAAAAACAGCTGAAGACACAAAGCAGGAACTGAGATATGTTTTGTTGTATCATTGTCATCATGAGGCAAGATCATTTCTCCAAGGAAAGGGTGTCCAATAAGTTATTTATAGCCCTCCTTTGAACTTCACTGTCATTAAAAGAATGACTTCCTGTCATTCTTTTTTTTAATTTTTTAAAAGATTTTATGTATTTATTTTTAGAGAGGGGAAGGGAAAGAGAAAGAGAGGGAGAGAAACATCAATGTGTGGTTGCGTCTCGCATGCCCCAAACCGGAGACCTGGCCTGCAACCCAGGCATGTGCCTTGACTGGGAATTGAACCACGACCCTTTGGTTCACAGGCCCGTGCTCATTTCACTGAGCTACACCAGCCAGGGCACTTCCTGTCATTCTTTCCAAAACTGCTCAGCTTTCTGGACACTGCCCCCTAGTCTCTGGCTCTATTAAAACTACTGATTCTGGATCAAACTCTACTCATTCTAGATGTAGTACTTTGAAATTACTATTTCCTATCACAGAAACACTCTTCTATGAGATATTGGAAGGAAAGGCTCCTTTCTTTTGGTCAGAACCCTTGCCAGATATCCATTTGTCTAAAAGACCTTTGAGCGCCATTAAAGAAAATCACCACCAGTTCCTCTGTCATTCTCTATCTCAATAACCTGGCTTTTTTCAGAGGCTTTAAAATCTTTTTATCATTGAGTTATAAGAGGTCTCTACATATTATGAATTATTTTTTTTATTGTTGTTCAACAAATTAGTTCTTTGCCAAAAAACATGCCATAAAGATTTTTTTCATCTAGGTCTGTGGCTTACCTTTTCATTTTCATGCAAGTATCTTTTGATGAACATACATTTTTAATTTTTGTAGTTTTGATTTTCAAAAATTTGAAAGCTGTTAATGTATTCATCCTCAGGGCTGTATAAACATTGCCACAACCAACTTTAGAACATTTTTCATTGCTCAAAAGGAAATTCCCCACCCTTTCGCATACCACTTCCCACACAATTTCTCCTTTCCCAAGTCCCTGGGAAGTCACTAATCTACTTTCTGTCTCTCCATATTGCCTAATTATAGATATTCATATAAGTAGAATAATACGATATATAACTTCTTGTGTCTGGCTTTTTTCATTCAGTGCACTGTTTTCAAGGTGTATCCCTGCTGTAGCACCTATCGGCACCTTACTTCTTTCTGTCGCCAAAAAGTTATATATTGTATCGATACACCACAATTTATCCATTCATTAGTTATGAGTATTTGTGCTCTTTCTACTTTTTGATCATTATAAATAATAAATGTAAATGATGCTATAAACATTTGTGCACAAGTTTTTGTGTGAACATAAGTTTTCATTATTTGGGGGTATATATATCTAGGAGTAGAATTGTTAGATCAGATGATATTTTCTCTAGTTATTTGAGGACCTGCCAGACT